CACTAATCGAAAAACTGTTTTGTTTAGGTTATCTCATTCGTTCCACTGAGGTTATCATAAAGGGGCCCTATTATAAAAGGTTACATGGATAAATTACATCGTTACTACTTACTACAATATCATAAAAACAATGGATACAGATAAGATTGTTTTAAACTGTTTAAAATATGTAAGGAGGCTGAGATTAAATGGAAAATGGAGCTAAAGTTCATGGCTTATCTCGAGTTTACCCGAAACATAAAGCAAAATAAAAATAAAAATATGACCTATGGAAATTTTGGTGATTTTTCATCGTTTCAGCTAAAGAATAAATGTCATGGATCTGTGGAGGTGTGGGTGGAGATAGAAATAAAATGGAAATCTCTCCAAATTCAAAATGAATTTCATAAGTACAATAGCTTGTATTATTATTGTCTGTAGAATCAAGAAAGTAGGATAAACTGAACAAAGTAATATATTATATATGAATCATCAAAATTTGCTAGAAAAAAAAACCCTAGTATATTCGTGACCATTTAACCAAGAGAAGTAGGTTGATTTAACCATATGGCAACTTAAAATTTTTAGGATTTTGTAAAAATGAAAACTACCATCACTCTCTTGGTCAAATGGAAACTAGTCTTAAAGTGGTAGTCTGGCCCAATGTACCCAAAGACCTGTATTAAGCCCATAGGCCATTTAGTATAAAGACCGAATGTTATAGCCTCAATTCATCGCTCGAACTAAGCCTTTTTTAAGCGACAATCACATTACAGTTAATAAATCATATTTTAAAAGAGGAAGTTCAAAATTATTTTAAAAATTATTTAGTAGAGAAAAAGCCCACTTTTATAAAAAAAAAACTTTAATTACTGCAACTGGCACTCCAAATTGTTTTTACAACGAAACAACCCTGCCCACACATATGCAAGCTAGTGATTCGCCATTGGAGCCTTTATTTGGCCCCTACTTGAGTGCAAGGTACTTATTACAATATGTAACTGTAGACAGAAAATACCCTAAATTCCAACACATAAATATATTTTATTCAGGTATCATGTTGTTATTTTTGTCGTTTACAGTTTACTCGTTTTCAGTACATCGCCGGGAAAAAAATAAGTCACTTGAAAGGATATTGTTTCATGGAATTTGCACCATGTTAACAGTGAACATCTTTATCTAATATTATTATTACACTAGGTTTAAAGAAATCTTTTAAAAAAAATTCACATGATCAGATAATCATGATAGTAATCGTCGGTTTCGAGCTTTTGAGGAATAGTTCGAATCGAATAAAAAAAACTCGGCTCCAAATTTGTAATAGCATAAGGTTGGGATTCCATTTTGTTGATGAAATTAGTTAACGACTTAACGTATTAGTTTACGTGAGCAGCTTTTGCTAGAGAAAAAGAAAATGAATGAAAATAATAAAACGCAGTTGGCACACATAATGCAATAACTTACGAAATTAGAACCACTTGTCTTTATATTATATAGTTTGGTTATTGAATCTTGACCTAGTTATAGAAAATGACTCAGAAACCACTAATATATGAAGATGACGATATGCTTCACACCTTTCCGCTTTGATAATTGGTGTTTACACTGTTAACCAAATTGTTGAATAATTGCTTCTCAGCTTTTACAGCACGTGCTAAATTAATTCCCCAATGAAGTTATTTTACTTTATCTCTGAGTTGCGTATACAACTCGTACTATTCCAAAGCTATCTTTGTCTTCTCTACATTATGATGATTCATTTCGTCAATATGGAAAATCATTATGATATTTTCTAGATGAAGAACAATTAATTTCGGATTAATATAATAGTATATACTCTAGAGTCTAGAATAATTTTAACAACTACTGATGACTGATCCAAAGCTGATCGAGTCTCGAACAGGTAGGACTGGTTTCAGACGTCAATGCTTATGTCAAATTAGGGTTTTACGTTGATAATAAATAAAGAACCTGGTTCTTGTTTACAGTTTTGTGTGTTACGTTAAGAAAGAAAAAAGTACACACTGTATATATAATGCAAACAAATGATATTTGACTTGAAAGTGGACTCCTGCAACATCTTTTATATAACGAACAAACACATTTGAATCTCGCTATTAACTTTAGACATCAACCAATCAAACTTCTTATAGTACACCACCGTATGGATATGAATATACTACATTGTTGTTGTTAGAATCGAATATTTTGTCGTATTTTTTTAGTCAAGACTTTTGATTTTCTTGGCACCCACATTCGTGTAAATGAAGGTGGACGAGATGAAATGTTTTGCGACATACAAATATATCTTCTGCATAAAAATGAGATCACGTCGTGCTGAATTTGGTTACGGCGCCGAATGCACACGCATGCAGCTTCCAGATGACCTTATTAATCATTTTTTTTTGAATCATAACCGAATTTTGATTATATATATCTATCTAGTATAAATGCTCCCTAAAGCAGATTTTTTTCGTTTATTTGATTATTTTTTTTTCCAATCAATTATGCGATGGTTCTAAGTAGCTCACAAAATAAACCATTCATTAGAATAATTGATCATATTCATGTTTTAGGGATGCAGTACACTTTTTAAAGCCCCTTACAAACTTTACTCAAAGAAAATTACCTCAAAAATCACTCACAATCCAAACTTTTATTTTGTAATCTTGCTTTTGGTGTTCTTTCTTCAAGCCAATAATATGTGAACTTTATTTATTTACAACCCACCATACTTTATATCAAAGGTATAGTTATCAGCTTAACTATCTGCCCTACACTATATGAGCTTTTTTTTCTTGGTCGTCACATAATTATTTTTAACAAAAAGAGTCTGCAAAATTGATCTAGTATGAAATTGGAATTTCATTTTTAGGATGTAAACAAACAAAACAAGCATAGTTTTTTTTAATGTCCAAAGTTTCAATCATGAATTGCTAGCTAAACCAAGTTGGAAATTTCTCATAAATCCATAATGTCTTCTCGATATATGGGGTCTTGTTTGCCTGCCACAATACTTGCTTCATGGATTGTATTACTCTGGCTACCTTATCCCATAAGTGGAAATTACTTTTTATTGGCTATTAGAAATGGAGAATCAATCAAAGTTTGGTGTACCCGTTGGCTCTCTCAACCACTCACCCAAAAACTCCAAACTAAAAAGGAGCAATCCAAAGAACTCACAATGTCCAATATGTTCCTTCCAGTTTTTTTGGGATGGGACATATATAAGATCAATTCAGAGATTACTTATTCAGTTGGAAGCAAAAAAGACACTCCGGATAAGAGAGTATGACTTAAGAAGACCTCAGAGATCTACTTTATAAAAAAGCCGCCTCACTATATATGCTGCTCTGCGCTAACTCGAGCTCAATCGTGAATCTAAATTGGACTAGAGATGCGATGGCTATACATATACGGCAATAATCAAACTGTTCATCTGAAAAGCAGCCCATTGAACTCTTCTGTAGGCAAGAGACTGGCTTCTAGCTAGACATATTTTTTATAACCTCATGAATGTGTAAGATGTGGCGAGGTCAAAGCAATTCCACATCTAGTACTCTTTCATTGTTCTTTTGTTTAGCTGGTGCGGAGAGAAAACACCTTTTTAAACGGCATTCAACTCAGCAACTTATACTGACTTTGAATCAGAAACCTCCTGATTATTTTTGTTCTCTTTGATTCTATCTCTTTTAATTCTAGAGGAAATGTTCTAAAATGAAAACCCAACATTTTACCAGACGATCAAAGCTAAACACACGTAACTACTAAACTCGTTTCAAATATGAAATCGTAATTTTGCACCCAAAAAAATCAAGGATGTAATTCCACATCTCCACAAATCTGTATTTTACTGGCATTTTGTTTTCTTGGCATTTTTTATTTGAATTAGTCTTATATAAAACGTGAAAAAAAAAATCAGTAATTAATGTCCGCCGACAATTGGCAACGACATTTATATAACGTCGACTTCATCTAGACACCTTTTTTTTTTTTCTTTTTCTGTGGTTGGAAATTGATAGATTGCCAAACATCATCTATCCCTCAGATCTCCCGTTTGTCGTGAATTTGTAGTATTTGCTAATTTGCTACATGTGTCTAAGCATACCACTACAGAAATGAGTGAATATTGTGACAAATTGTTTTGTGACAAATTGTTTTGTTATAATACTGTGATAATTTATATACAAAATTATGACGAAATTATTAAATAATAAAAGTGTTACTATTTTGTTATAATATTATGATTAAATTGAAAATAACAAATTTTTATCACTAATTATAACAAACTTGTTATGAAATATATAATCATAAATATTGTTATGAATTTGTGATAAAATCTAGTTACTAAATTATACAATTTTTATGACTAAACTTAAGTTATTTATAGTTACATATATTTTGTAAGTATTTCGTCATAATTAGTTACAGTGACTAAACTTAAGTCGTTGAGTAACTAAGATACACATATGGTTACATGACTTTGAAACTATATATAAAAGAGGACTTGGATCAGACACTTCTTATGAATGTATTATAGACTTATAGTCTAACCGAACTAAGATACACATATGGACCTAAGTAGCGGTTGTCGGGTTGTACGTGTAACGTGTTTCATGTAAAAACTTGTCTAGTTTTACAAAAATCAATTAGCATAACAATTAATTATTTTATCAAATACATTCATAAGAGATGGAAATTGTAACGACAACATTTTCTTAGTACATACATAGATATAAACGCCATCGCGAAAATAAGAAAATATTAAATTCTCATTAGTAACGAACGACAGAGGATGGCCACGAGCCTGTGCCTTAACCACTTTTATTTTTGTTTGAATGTGAATTTAGCATACACATGTTTTTCCTTTTTCTGAGCCTAAAATTTTAGTCTCTAAAACAAGTAGATATTTTTTCCGCAGTGGTTGAGACATATACTCTCAACTCTCTAGCTAGGGCCTCTAAATTTGTCAAGTAGAACGAGTTTTCAATCGTTTTGTTTTCTCTTTTTTTTTTTTATATGACAAGATGAGTTTTCAACCGTTGTAGCACTCATATTGGTTATTGCCGGATGTTATTTTATAAGTTAAAAATAAAAATCATTTATGCATGCCTTAACTCTCTCTCTTTTTCTCTATATATAACGTTCTAAATACTCCTTGTTTCATCCTCAGTCTCCTCCTTCATCCTTTTGAGCCCATAATCAAATAGTAACCAAAGCCATGAGCATAATCCAAGACTGGCCTGAGCCTATAGTCCGTGTCCAGTCCTTATCCGAAAGCAACCTCCAAGCCATACCAAAACGCTACGTCAAGCCTTTAGCTCAACGTCCAAGCTTACCATCTCACAAACACAACCCTCGCACCACCGCCATCCCCATCATTGACTTAGGCTGCTTAGACACAGACGACATAACTCTACAGGCCAAAACGTTTGAAGAGATCTCGAAAGCATGTAGAGGATGGGGATTTTTCCAAGTGGTGAACCATGGGATGAGTCCTCAGCTCATGGACCGAGCTAAAGAAACATGGAGAGAGTTCTTTCATCTTCCCATGGAGCTCAAAAATATTCATGCTAATTCGCCCAAAACTTACGAAGGTTATGGAAGCCGACTTGGCGTAGAGAAGGGTGCTATTCTTGATTGGAGTGATTACTATTATCTTCACTATCATCCTTCGTCTTTGAAGGATTACACCAAGTGGCCTTCTTTGCCTCTTCATTGCCGGTATAGTTTTTTTCCGAAACTTATTCTTACTTAGTTAAAATATTTAACAGCCTTTTCATTCACGTTTCCTAAACATGTTAAATAAAACTTTTATGATCCTAGCTATATAAGAGCATGTTCAACGCTGGCTTTAAAAAATATTAAAAAAATAAAAAAATAAGAAATTTGAAAAGAAACAGTTCTTAATTGGTTTGTTTTCTTTTATATTATAACTCTCCTTTAAAAGCTGGATCAAAAACTTTTCTATACATGTGTTATCATATAATTGGTTTGTTTTCTTTTATATTTAAAATTTATTTATATTATTATATTATATTAATATTTTATATTTAAGAAAGGTATCTTAATGTTTTTTGTGTTGCACATGATTTAATAACTCTTACTTGAAGCTACATCAAACCTAGGACTTTTTTAAAAAAATAACACACTTTGTTAGATTAGAATAATGATCTTAGAAAACAAAACCGACGTACTAGTACGACTTATTAGTGGATTATTAATGTATAACGCAAGTACATGTTAAAGATCAATATACTAGTTGACAAAATTTTAACCGCTATAATTTGTTTTTTTTTCTTGTTATTATATTATGTAGAGAAATATTGGAGGATTATTGCAAGGAAATGTTGAAATTGTGCGAGAACTTGATGAAGATATTATCGAGAAACTTGGGGTTACAAGAGGATAGACTTCAAAATGCGTTTGGTGGTAAAGAGGAAGCAGGAGGATGCTTAAGGGTTAATTATTACCCAAAATGCCCTCAGCCGGAGTTGACCCTCGGCCTCTCTCCGCACTCCGATCCCGGAGGATTGACCATTCTCTTGCCGGACGAACATGTTGCCGGTCTTCAGGTCCGTGGATCCGACGACGCTTGGATCACCGTCGAACCAGCTCCGCATGCTCTCATCGTTAACATTGGTGACCAAATTCAAGTGAGTATATTTTTATCTTATATTTTTTCATTTTAATTATTTTTAATAAACAGGAGAATTTTGAATCGAAACTCAGAGTTACTAGAAAAAATGATATTTTTTGCTGTTTAATTTCTTCACAATCGCCAACCATAACTAAGAATCGTTAGGGAATTTCGATTACTATCATGGTTTTAAATTATTAGACTAAAAAGTATTAATGTAAGGAAAAAAAAATGTATTATCACGTGGAGGGACTTGGGTTTCTTCTACACTTTATTTTTCTTGTAGTTGTTAACTTGTTAGTTATAAAGCACGTGCATGCATCTTCCTTCTTCTTTTGTTTTTGTTCAAGTTATGGGTTTAGGAAAAAACATAAAGTTGATTTTAAATCAATAAGGTACCGGTGAAGCCACGTCGCCATATTATTTAATTCTACATGTGCCTCTATAAAAGGAAAAGGAAAAAAGTCCAAATTAAGAAACAGAAGAAAACAATTTCAACGACTATTGCTCACAATATATTCAAATGTTTAAAACGTGCTAAAAACCAAAACCGCCTAGTTAGTCAAACAATAGTGTATCTCTTCCTCTTCTTCATTTTTGTGTCGTTTTTGGTATTTTTACACGTATATAATTACTTCCTTTACTTTGTTGAATTACGAAATTTAAGTTTTGAGAGAAATAAAAGTAACTGTCTAAGGATAATATGTATCCAAGTTGTTTATACATCATTACTGTTATTGTGTCATTTGGTTTAAACCCAATAGATCGTATGTAGTTGATTAAAAAAAACGTTGAATATTTTTGATTGGTTAGATGCTGAGCAATTCAATATACAAAAGCATAGAACACAGAGTGATCGTGAGCCCTGCCAAGGAGAGGTTATCATTAGCATTCTTCTACAACCCAAAGGGCAACGTCCCGATCGAGCCATTGAAGGAGCTAGTGGCCGTCGAGTCACCAGCTCTCTACACCTCCACGACCTACGATCAATACCGCCAATTCATTCGTACGCAGGGTCCACGTAGCAAATCTCATATCGACGAACTTAAATCCCCTCGATAGTAGAACGTGCTTAATTACATTTACCTTATATATAATGAAGTATATGCTTCCTTTTTCTGTTAATTAATGAACTACTTATTGTGTTGGTATGTGAGGATGTTTACATTATGTTAAATAATGAAATATGTTTTTTTTCTTCTTTTGTGGTCAAATGAACTATGTTTTTTTTTTGTATAAATAATTAATTATGAGAGTTCAGATATCAAGAGAGTTTATGAAGTGAGCGTTGAACCACCGGATGATCATTTTATGTTGGTTCCTTCATACATGTGCTCTCGCAACAAGATTAGTATATGCATCAACCGGAATGTTTTTCGACACCATGGAGGAGCTTCGACATCATAAGCATGATGTGTCTATTTGAAAAGGAGCTCTTTGACTGTTTTGAATTTTTTCTTTCTTTTGGAACAAACATATCAATCGCAAATAGTATGTGCATCTAATGTAATCTCCACTCTTGTATATTTCGGTATCTAAAAGTGGCTTTGGTTCAATGTTTCTTTATTTATGGATCAACTATAAATGCATTATTGAACTCTAGGAAGGAGAATTGATCTACTGACGTATATTATAAATTATTGGAAAAAATTGACTAATAATAGAGATAGAAAAACATGCATGGCAATATGTAGTTCGTTTAGGGGTAAGAAAAATCTCCAATTTTTTTGGTGTATGCTACCATAAAAAAAACATTGATGATTTTTAAGAGTCTCTCAAAAAAATAAATAATATAAAAATAGATGGGTTTCTCAAAATTTAAAAGACCTTTTCAAGTTTTTAAAGACTCAACTATTTGTATATTATTAAAAATCATCTCTATTAATTTTTGTTGAGAGATTCTCTTAGAAACTATTGATGATGATCCTATAAGTTTCTATTTTTGTAAAAAAAAAAAATTGATGATGCTTAAGCATGTTATTAAACATTAAAATTTAAGAGACATGCTACAAAATTGATGATGATGTTCATATATTTGAAATGACGCTTCTAAAACATGCACTTACATTATCATTTGAAATAAAGTTGCATTTTGCTAAGGTTTTTGATCATCTTTAACTCAACTTCATTTCGTTCATCAATTTCTATAATCACCATATTCAAATTGGTGGGGGAGTTTTGTGTCCGACGAATAGAGAGAATTCTTTTTGCGCACTAGGTTGCCGAAAGCCCATAATTAGCCCAATAACACATGTTAAGTAAAGAGCCCATATTTGAACCCCCCAAAAATGTTCAAGTGGGCAAATAACACATTGTGGACCTAATTGTGATAAAGTCGAATCAAAATTTGGTAGTTATTTTGCAATTTTCTCTTTTTTGTTGGAGCCTGACGGTGACGATTCCTCTGCTGCAACCCGCTAGGGTTTATTAGGTGGAGAGCTTCGTCTGCAACATCTCAGACGCAAAGATTGGGTTAGGGTTCATCAGATTGAATTTCGATAGTGAGCTTTTGCCTCTGATATCTCTCTCTCTCTCAAAATGGCGGGTTTCTCCGAGGACGTAGATGGATTGAACAACAGCACTTCGCAAAAGAGGCAACGTACGAGCAAACCTTCCGATGATACCGACGCGAAGAAAAAACGCACGGCGACACTGCTGGATCTGGATGCTATCGACTGTTCCCGTTTGCTTCGATGCTTTGAGCATTCCTATCTTCCAGGTTACATTTCTCATACGTTTTCTATGTTGAAGAAATTACGTCATTCAAAGTACAAAAAGCCATGTTGAGTTTCTTTGTTGGTATGTTTTTATTGAACAAACAGTTTTTGATCAATACAATTATTGTTTTGGTAAAACAGTGTAAAAATGGCCATATAGTATGCTCTACTTGCTGCGAAAAGTTGAGGCGAAGATGCGCAACGTGATCCTTACTCACTCTTTCCCGCAATAGAGCTATGGAGCATGTTCTTGAACTACTTAGAGTCCCATGTCCAAATGCAGAATTTGGCTGCTCTGAGAGTTTCTCTTATGCTGAAAGATCAACACATTAATTTAGACAAGTGCGCTTTCGCCCAACGTGCTTGCCCTTTCAGCAGCTGCGACTTCATTGGCTCTTCGTTGGGTATATATGAACACAGCGTTGCTAAACACTGTAAAACCTCACGCATGTTTGATTGTGAATGGCCTGTGTTTGTGTGCCCGTCAATTTGTGAGAGGATCATTCTCAAGGAACGGACTACTGCCGAAGGAGAAGGAGAAGGAGAATTTGTGGTTGTGGAGTGTTTCGACACGTCACAGGGTCGAATAATCTATGCTAGCTGTATCGGACCAGGAACAGAGAAGTTCTCCTACAGCTTGAAGTTTCATTTCTCTGACGGTGATCTCTTGCGGTTTGAATCACGTCTCAAGAGAGTTTGCGAAGTGAGCAATGAACCACCAGATGAGCCTTTTATGATGGTTCCTTCACGCATGTGCCCTGACTACAAGTTGCAAATAAGCATCAGACGGAAGACTTCTTAAGGATCATAAAGAAGCGTCTACTTCATCACTCATCACCTAGACTCTTTGCTCTTAGTTACTCTATGTTTGTGCTTATTATTAGGAGTTTGAGATGGATATCTAATGCTTATGCAACCTCTACGTTTGGTATATCGAGAGAGCTTTGTTATTTTGTTTCTCTCCTTTATATTAATATTCTGGCGTATTATTATAAATCACACAACTCATTAGCAGAGCATGGGAGTTGTGTGCACTGACGTATTATTAATGCATAAAACTTAAAAGTGAATTTGATTCTAATAGAGAATCCTAAAGCTAATCTATAGCGGTAAAAACTAGTATAAAGAGATAAACCGATTTCTAAGGAAAAAAATAATCACAAATTAACCAAACTAAATCATGTTGAAATAAGTTTCTATACACTCAGATAGATATATGCAGGTAGTGCTGACTCGCAAGGCGAAGACATTCAGACATTTAGGTTTTTCTTATATAGAAGATTCGTAAAGATTAATTTTTAAAAAAAATACTGAAATGGATCAAATAACGAAACTTGTTATTATTTCCTATTTAAAACTTGGAAGTTAACGTGTGATAGATCTAAATGTAAGTTGTAGTTTGAATTCAGTTAATTTTATCCAAAACCGTTGGTCTATCTGCGACTGCTTTATAGCAAAACCAGATGAATATGTAATAATAAGCTTTAGAGATAAGACAAACATGTCTTATTCATGATAATTGTCGATTTGGGATTAGAGAGAGAGCGACTGAACATTTAAAGTTTGCAAGCATGTGCTCGTGTGTGTGTGAGTACGTGTGTCTCTACTTCATACTAGCAACGAATGGATCAAATTAAAGTAAGCAAATTACGATAAATAAATATATACAAATGTTACGTGGATGGTTTGAATTGGTCAAATTTAACTAATTGGAACCGGAAAGGTTATCTCAAGTTGGTATAATCTTGTTCAGTCAAAACCCAAGATTATGTAAGAGACGGGTTGTAACAAAATAAGAGTTGAACCGAATCTAAATCGAACCAAAACCGGAATAAAGTCAGGGTGAGGAAGATGTATGTGTACATTGAGAAAAGGACGAAAAGAAAATCATTTACAAATAAACGAATGATCGAAGAAGCGTCTTCGTACAGTTTTATAATAAATCTTTATTTTCCTATTGGCTCTATTTGCCTTTTTAACTCCCCCACTCTCATTTTTCTGGCGCGTGGTTTCACTTTCTTAGTTTTTTAGTTTTCTCTTTTTCCTATTTGAAGGATAAAAAATCTGCCAAATAAGTGGATTTTTCAGTGACCTTTGAAACTTTGAGCAGCTAATAAAATTGGCTATAAAAGTATAACCATTCATTTTTAGAATGTACGTCCAATTTTACAGCAAATAAAATTGGTTTATAAAATATGGTGAATGCACTTTAAACTTGACTTAAACCTATATATAAAAGTAATTTTAATTTTCTCAATTTGACTTGTAATAATTCATAAATCTACCAAGTTTGGTTTGTTAAATCGGTCAAAGACTAAATTTTTTTAAAAATATATTTACATTAATTTTATTTCGTTAAATGCATCTAAAGGATTTGAATCCAAATGATAGTGATACAGTATTTGTTTCTATGAACGAAATAATATTTTTATTTGTTAACTAAGTCTTATTTTATAAACTTACACAACATTTTTCAAAACAAAACGCCCAAGTGGGCGCGTGGATCATATCATAAATGTCATTTTCAAAGGACTTCATCGAATCATCGCCATAGAGGCATAGACCTCTCTCTCTCTCTCTCTCTCTAATTAAATTAAAATTAAACTCAATTAGCATTTGATAGAGAGAAAACAAAGGAAACCAAAGGAGAAACCCAAAAACTTGTGATTGCTTCCTTTCTTCTTCAGGTTTGTCTCACCTTTTACAGATTCTCTTAACGTCCACCGAGTTTCCACCGTCTGCCGTCAATTGTCTCCATCGACTCATGGCCGAGTTGACTCAGGCCGATGCTGTTTACTCGCCTCAGCCGCTTCAAGTGTGGAAGACTTTGGTGAACTGGCTCGCGTTTTTCTATCAGATCTTCCTTCAGATCCTCCGTGCCGTCGGCTACCATCCTCTTCTCTCCTCCTCTGCTAAAGCCGCCGCCGATGGTTTTAAACCTTTACCGGCCATCGAGTTACACGATAGGGCGGCGGAATCTCCCACCACCGTGGAAATCGCTTCCTCCACGACCTCTTGCGGCGAAGCCCAACGCAGCCGCTTCCAGAGACTCAAGGCATGCTTGAATTTTCACTTTTTTTTTTTTTTTTTTTTTGCTTCTTCTTATCGATTGGTCAAAGTCATCTAGAATTGGTTTGATTTTGACATTTACGCCTGAAGAAACTTTCTCTGCGGAATTCAGAAACTTATTAAATTACGGAGATTGGATAAGCACACTATGTTAGTATGATACACATCAATCTTATTCCATTTTCCAGTGTGGTAGTCTAAAATCTCTGCAGCATACATTTTTAAACTAAAGTTTATATATATCTTTTTTTTTTAAATTGTGGTTTTTGATTTGTAAATTTATCACCCAAAAGAGTTTGTTTTTATGAACGACTTAAGTAGGAAAGTGTAGACTTGAATTCAATTTTCATCCGTTTTCGTTTGACACTCGGGGTTTGTAGTTAAGCTCACAAATTGATGCATAGAGTAGTATTATGTTGATGGAACTACTTTCGTTGATGAGGTAATTGCATTCGATATCTCTACTAACATTCGACTTGTGAAAGCTTATTATTTAATTAGTTGAAGAACCTTGAAGTTCTTAGTTAGGTGTATCCTGTGGCAAAGTGTTGAATCTCTTTAACCTGACTGAGTCTGAGTGTCAGCAATATCTTCTAGGTTTATGTTCTCTTTGTCGGAAGCCAATTAGGGAAGTCTAATAAGCTTTGGTTAGTAGCTATCAGTAGTGTTAAGAGTAGTCCTGAGAACAGAAGATGTGTTTGCAGGTAGTTCTGGACTTGGACGAGACGTTAGTGTGTGCATATGAGACGTCAAGTTTACCTGCTGCTTTACGGAACCAAGCCATTGACGCCGGGTTAAAGTGGTTCGAGCTTGAGTGCTTGTCATCAGACAAGGTCTTCCTCACACAGCATGTTCTCCAAAGTTAATTTCATATCTGTTGATTTCGCGGTTTCATTGACACATGTGCCTTTCGTGTCTTGAAGGAATGTGATGGGAAACCTAAGATCAATTACGTCACGGTGTTTGAGCGTCCAGGATTGCACGAGTTCTTAGAGAAACTCAGCCATTTTGCAGATCTTGTTCTGTTTACAGCTGGTCTTGAAGGTCTCTCTTGAGATCCTCTGCTCGTAAAAAGTTCATGCTCAAGATATGTAATCCTAACATTCATTTTGACCGCCTGCAGGATACGCTAGACCGCTTGTGGACCGAATAGATACCAGGAAAGTACTCAGCAACCGACTTTATCGACCTTCGACAGTCAGCACGTAAGAGTTATTTACTCTGTTTTATCTTCTAGAAACCCGTTTTTTGTTGTAGTTTATTGAGATTTTCTTATACATTGTATGCTCTATACCTAATCAGGCAATACCGAGATCACGTGAAGGATCTGTTCAGCATATCAGAGAACATGTTTAGGACAGTGATCGTTGACAACAATCCTTTCAGCTTTTTGTTGCAACCATCAAATGGGATTCCATGTATTGCGTTTTCCGCCGGGCAGCCTAATGACACTCAGGTCTCTATTTATAATTACTTCTCTTCTCATACATGTTTGTAACCCTTTGGGCTATGGTCACTCTCGAGACTAAACGGTAATTATCGAATTTGTAGCTTTTGGACGTTATTCTTCCACTTCTGAAGCAACTCTCAGAAGAAGAAGATGTAAGACCGACGCTTTACGATCGGTTCCGCATGCCTGAATGGTTTGAGAAGCAAGGTATACCACCGTCGTGCTGGAATACTTAACCGGTTAAGCGGAAAGTAATGGCGAAACCCGAAATATATCAGAAATCTCCGGTCCACACACAAAAAGGGTTAAGGGATTGTTTGGTTTGGGTACAGTAGTTTCAGCAATGGCAAACCTGAGGAGAAAGGAAGACACAGAAACTACCATTCGTATTGTTTATATATTCTGGTAGATTACTTTTAAAAGATAAAAATCGGTTACACATTCTTGGTTTCATGTAATTCTTCTAGCTTTCTCTGTAATTTTGTTAATGATCAATCATTATTTTTTCTTTTTCGGTGGGCTCGGTTTGCATATACAAACGCAGTTATTAAACCGAAGTAGAAACTGTGTGTCATAAATAAAATAAACAAACGTTGGATCATATAAATTGTATTCCCTCCGTTTTTTTAATATAAAATGTTTTAAGACTTTTTTTTTTATTTGAAAAGATATGATGTTTTCAGAAATTAATGCAAAATTTATTAATAAATAATTTGTTTTATCCTTAAATTAATTGATAATCAAATAAACAAATAATAATAAATAAGATTATAATAGATATTTAACAAATTTTCTTAATCCATGTGGCCAACTCTAAAACATCCTATATTTAAAAACAGAGAGAGTAATAATTATTGAAGAGCGTGTATGTTTTTGAAGAGTATATTGTGTGCTTCAAATTTCAAAATATTGCATCCACAGAAAAAACAACAACAATGACTCTCATATTTAATCATATAGTATGATGTAAATATACTCTTTTTATTCACAGGATCCAACCAAAACAGTAGTATTTGTCTTAGGTTTAAAATCTGAAATGAGTTGAAAATCATGTCAGGATCCAGCAAAAAGCATTTAAGAATAATTGTCGATGTTCCTAATCTTAGCTAGAAAACATTAATACACTCTCCCTCCGAATACAATATAATAGTGTTGAACACATTTTACAGGTCGAAAGAGTTCGTGAGTTACATTTATAAGACCTGTCATGTTTCTTTTTCTTATAATAAAATGTATTTTTGCAACTAATCTTTAATTGTGTGGTCGGCCTTCTTATGTTTGTTGTTAATAGGTGGACCGTTCTGAGCTGTGTTCCGACTTCTCAGGCTTCTTCACATCTAAATAACCTAACTACTCCCATGAAATTAAATCTACTTTTTTCTTTTAATTTGCCGATAACTTTATTTTACATTATATTAATTATTTGAATTCCCGGTGGAAACCAATAACAATGAAAAAACGCGTGGTGGGAATTCGTTCTTGCATTGAGAGATACATCTCTACGTTAATTTGATGAAATGTGAGGATCAAAAAGTATATGGCTACGGAAATAATTAGATGTTTCATTTTGTTTTCTGTGTTTAAGAAATTTATTTATTTTAGTTTCTTAGTAGTTCACAGGTTTGAGATTTAGTTTGGTGTCGATCGAGTAAAATTTCACTCGCTTATTCCAGATTTGAGAACTAGTCTTGCATGCATTTTCTTAATCGTCTGAACTTTCATCTCATTAATATAACATTCTTTTTATATATAGTAAAGTAAAGGGACATGTTACGTGATTATTGTCATGAAATCAATATAAATGGTTTGACAATTTTGAACAATATATCGATTAATTAACGTAAACTCCCTAACTACTATATATTAAGGTTTGACATTATTTGTCGCATATGTTCCTTTTTAGAGTTGGACTATTACAACGAATACTAACACTCGTAATTATATTTAAACAAGAGAGTTTATGAAAGCTGCAGCCTATACATGAATGTGTGAACATTTTTCTTGATGTTGAAACACATTTATAAAAGATATATACGTTTTTTCGTTAAAAGAAAAGAGGACATATAGTTTTATGCAAGTATGTGTGTGTGAACATTTTTCTTTTAACAAAAGAAAAAAAGAGAGGGAATGTGTGTGTACCCATGCTTTTGAATAGACTATCTATATGATAAGTAACTTATGCACAAAATAAATAAAGGAAAATAAGAGATAGAAGTAAAAAACTTATTAGTTATAGTACTGATGAGTCTAAGGAGAAAAACATTTAAGGAAAAGTGGGGAAAACCCAAAAATAGATGTCGATTCAGGAGAAGCCTTCTCTAAATTTTTTTTTTTTTTTTAGCTTTGACTAAAAGTTCTTTCCCTATGTTTTGACGAAAGAAAAACTGACCAAGTCTGAGTCCAGAAACTCCTGCAAATTTGATAGACCAATTTATCTTTTTACTAAGCTCAATAAAAAAAAAGAAGGTTTTCTCTTATAAAGTGAAAGTTTAGCTTCTCAGAGAGTTACAACAAACACATAAGAAGAACAACGAATTAAGTTCCAATTCCATAATTTAGTTTTTAAACTGCATATAATCCTTTTTGTTGTAAAAAGAAATATTGAGTTCCAGTTCCATAATTTATTTTTAGCTGTTTCATTGTTTTGTCAAGTTTCAGTGCATTTACATATATCTACCCTAATTAGAATTGAACCGGTTAAATACAGTTTTTAAAATTGTCCGTATCTATTAGTAGCTTGGTACAAATCAACGAAATCATGCTATCAATTGGTTTTGGTCAAATATGGCCAGCCATTGAATAAGTGATGCTATATAATTTTTCTGTCTTTTTCAAGTTTATCATCTCTCTCAGTTTTCGAACTTTTCTTCAATCAATTTTTCTTTATTTTAAAGCGAGGAACTCAATGAGAAAGTACATGCACACACATTAGAAAGAATATTAGCGTAAATTCTTTTCGTCAAGATATTAATTTTGTTTCAGCAGTACTATCTCTTAATTACAACATATAGAACTACATAACTCATTTATACTTTTATGTTCCCAACAAAAAAAAAACGATCACACTTTTTTTCTTTTATTGATCTCATACTTTACTACAAAAATGGATTTAACTTGTACAAAAATGATAAATGCCGTTGCTAATAATGATATGTTTTAGTTTTACTACCTCACTTGGTCACTTTTAGACGTACCAACCTTTTGTAAACTTTATATTAGTCTGAATTTTGGAGTAACGGTCCTTATTATAATTGTAAGAAAAATATGAATGGTAATAAGGTTTCCAACTTTCCATTGATATGATGATGATTTAGAGTTTTTATAATATTGTGTTAAGATAAAGAAATCCTTTTATGGTAGTAAAATTTTCCATTGATATGATGACATTTAATTTCCTAAAATTTCGTTGACTCGAGATTGACCAATCGGTAGAGTCGTCGATTTGCATAATTTTTGAATTTGGAAGATTCGGTTAGAAAAAAGGAATTAGGAAAGTATTGAATTATTTACTGTATGTACGCAAATTTGATTAAAAAAAAAAACGGGAAAGTTTAACAAACAGAAATTGACAGTTTAATTAATTTACAAGAACAGAAAATAAATGAGTTCAACCACCACACCATTTTGGAAACATGGACCTTATAGTCTGAATCATATTTACTGTTTACATGGGAAATTTGATTTCTTTATATTATTCTCTTTAACTTTTTTTTTTTTATCATATGAGCGGTTGTTGCATGACTAATATTAATCTAGCATTTTATAATATACGCACATTATACAACGTAGTTCCGGTATCTAAATATCGAAACGGTCGAAATAATTCAGTTCAAAAATTCTTTGACAATCATCACATAAAATCGGCCATTAATAGGGGCAAAGACAAGTTTTTGAATAAAATATATCTTAATTTCTTACCAAAATTATATTCATAAAAAAGTTCTTAGTTTCCTTTTAAGATCTAATAACAATAATGTTTCCCACATTTTCAAAAAAATAAAATAAATAATGTTTCCCAGTAACTTGATTTATGAGTTAACAATATACAGAAAACCAAAGAAAAAGAAAAAAAACGTGACTCAACATATTTAAAACGCATTTTTTAAGCAATCCTACTAATATGTAATTACTGTTTTGTCTCTCAAATCTTTAAACGCATTTCTTCGTCGTCTTCTTCCTTCTTCTTTTTCTCTCTCTCTCTCTCTCTTGCAGAATCTTGACTCCTGAAAATGAACCTGTCCGACTTAGAATCGGCAAAGACGGCAGTCAAACTCAACTTCTATAGATGAAGAGGATTATCTTTTCAGCCGTGACGTTTCCCGTCACCGTCGCCGTTATCTTCATCTTCGTCTTCTTCCTCCCGATTCTTGCTACCGCCTTAGGTTCAGGCTCAACTTACGCCGTCGTCTACGGTTCCGACACCGTATGTGCCTTGATTGCCGGCCAGCCCACACAGCGTATCCTCTGTTACGACACGCGCCTTCGTACCTCTGTCACTCTAAATCCCGGCGTCTCCTTCTCCTCCATCGCCGCCGGAGAGAATTCTCTCTGCGGTGTACGCTCCGGTGGATACAGTCTGCTCTGCTGGGATAACAGCGGGAGCTACTCTTTCAACCCAAAGCGAATCTACCAAAATGACACAGTTTTGCTCGAGAATCTCTCCGTCGGCGACAGCCAAATCTGCGCCACCGTTAACGGCACAAATGCCTTAAAATGCTGGAGAAGTGATCAATCAACGCCCGCGAACGAGGGATTCCGGTCAATTTCTTCCGGCGTCGGTTTCTCCTGCGGCGTCTCGATTCGAAATAACCGAATTCTTTGCTGGGGAAGAGATTCTGCGAAATCGGGTCGGATCCAATCCGGATTCGGGAACACGACGATGGTAAGCATATCTGCAGGCGAATCACACGCTTGTGGATTAAACTCCACTGGAAATTTGATTTGCATCGGAAACAACGATTCTGGGCAGCTCAATGTTCCATCGAATCAGCCTTACCAATACTCGGAGCTCTCTCTCGGATCGAATTTCACTTGCGCGACGCGAAATTCGAACTATTCCGTAATTTGCTGGGGAGGAGGAGCAGAGCGATTCAACAATGTCACGCAAGGGATCTCCTTCGAGTCGATTGCTTCCGGGCCGGGTCTTATCTGCGGGTTAATCTCCGGTAATCTCTCCGTCATGTGTTGGAACCCTTCGAATTTCTCAAGAATCTTCCTCCCTTTCCCAGAAATTTTACCAGGCGCTTGCGTCGAATCATCTCTTTGCTCTTGCGGCGTGTTTCCACAATCCGATAAGCTCTGTTCAGGTTCTGGTTCGATCTGCAGCAAATGCCCAACAATCCCTCCGAGCGAGTTTCCTCCTCCTCCACCACCGTCTCCACCACCGTCACAGTCAACTTCACCTCCTCCGTCGAAAGCCTTAACCAGAGGATTATTGGCGTTTGCGATCATTGGATCAGTAGGAGCATTCGCAGGGTTATGCAGTGTGGTTTATTGTTTATGGACTGGAGGTTGCTTGGGGAAGAAGAAAGTTCATAACTCAGTCCAACCGACGATAACTCGCGGCGGCTCAAATAGCCGGTCAAACAGCTCGCCGCCTTCTCGGTCCACAACCATAAGACGTCAAGGCTCGAGAATGCTTTCCATGAGAAGACAGAGAAGCGGGACATCATCGATGAAACACACAGACAAGGCCGAAGAATTCTCCTTCTCCGAGCTCGCTTCCGCCACCGGAAACTTCTCTCCAGAGAACAAAATCGGTTCCGGAAGCTTCGGTGTTGTTTACAGAGGCAAACTAAGCGACGGGAGAGAAGTCGCGATCAAACGCGGAGAAGTAAACGCGAAACTGAAGAAGTTTCAGGAGAAGGAAACCGCGTTTGATTCGGAAATCGCGTTTCTGTCGAGGCTTCACCATAAGCATCTGGTGAGGCTCGTCGGGTACTGCGAGGAAAGAGAAGAGAGGCTTCTGGTCTACGACTACATGAAGAACGGTGCGCTTCACGATCATCTGCACGACAGGAACAACGTCGAGAAACACAGCAGTTTGATCAACTCGTGGAAAATGCGGATCAAAATCGCGTTAGACGCGGCTAGAGGAATCGAGTATCTGCACAACTACGCGGTCCCGCCGATCATCCACAGAGATATAAAGTCATCCAACATCTTGCTCGACTCGAATTGGGTCGCTAGGGTTTCGGATTTCGGGTTATCCTTAATGGGTCCGGAGCTGGGGAAAGATCATGAGCACCGTCCGATGAAAGCTGCGGGAACGGTCGGATACATCGATCCTGAGTATTACAGTCTAAATGTTTTAACGGATAAAAGCGACGTGTACGGACTCGGAGTGGTGTTGCTGGAACTGTTGACCGGAAAAAGAGCGATTTTTAAGAACAATGATGATGTCACAGAAGGGTGTGTTCCGGTGCATTTGGTGGATTACTCTGTACCGGCGATTACAGTGGATGAGTTGGGTCGGATATTGGATCCTAGAGTTGGATCGCCGGAGCTAGGGGAAGGAGATGCGGTGGAGCTAGTGGCTTATACGGCGATGCACTGTGTGAATGTAGAAGGGAGAAATCGGCCGACGATGACGGACATTGTTAGTAACTTGGAAAGAGCATTGGAACTGTGTGGAGATAGTCATGGGAGTATCTCTAGTGGCATTTGTTCTATTGTCTCCGATCGGGAGATTTAAAACCAATATTTGACTTTTGTTTTTTTTTTCATAGATTTTTTTTTTCGAGGGTTTTAATTTTTTTTTGTTCCATAAGATTTTTGGGTGATTTTTTGTTATTTTCTTTTTGTAAATAAATGTTTAGGGTAGCTGATTAGGAGAATTCGAATATTCAATGTTCATGGTCTAACCATTTTGGTTGGGAAATGTATACTTTGGACAGCGGAGACCGAAATGATTAAGGAAGATGCGGATTATTATGATGTGGTTCTTTTGGTCGAAGCGTGTTGTTAACTCTTTTTCTTTCTTTTATACTTATGTTAGGGAGATTTATTATTATACAGTGTATTTATACTCTCTCTTTTCTTTTGTGTGGGTTAAATTCGATATAATTTCATTTAAAGAAAAGTAGAAGAGTGGGTCTTCATTTTAGACGTGTACACTCTCTTAGGTTGACATGTCATCATGCCAACAGACAACTCCGAATCTGTTTGACTTTTTTTTTTTTTTTTGCGGTCAACAGTTTTCCTATGTCACTTTTGTAATTTTTCCTCATCAAATATTGCTTCTGTTTGGACGGAAATTATTTAATTTTAGCCACGAAAAGACAATTATAAATTTAAAGTAAAATAGTTTATGGCAAAACGAGAGAAATGATATTTGGCTGGCAAAAAAAAAAAGATTATTTGATATGTATTTAAAAGATGTATATAGTACAAAAAGAGAGAAATTGCTTAACTCTTTGAATGGGGCCTATTTGTTGCTAAACAAGGATACATTAACTAAAATAGTAATACATTAACTAAGGTCTGAATAAATTTCACGCGTCTCCAAGAATTCAGACAATTTAATTTATTGCTATAAAACGACGAATATTATTTCAACAAGGGCAACCAGTCAAAGCTCGCAGAGTTTCTGTGAACCTTCCGAGTTCCTAAAATAGGAACACCAATAAAATCCCCAAAAAAAAAAAACAGTTTGAAACTTCTAAACTTTATACTGGAGGAGTAGTATATCATTACAACAATTGTTTATCTTGCTAAGCAAATAACATAAAATATTTACATAATGGTTGATTAGTTAATGACTTAATAGATCAGGGAAATATTCTTACTCTTGTTCTTGGTCTCAGGCTCACAACGCAAAGAAATACGGAAGGTTCAGAGATTCTGTTGATGTGACTTTCTTTGTTTAAAACTAACTGTTGATGTAATTGTAATGGAATTTACCAGCAAACCACAATGAAATAAAATCAGTGTTACTATTTTATGGTAATGTAGTTTGTGGCGACATCTAATTTAACTTCCATTCATTTAAATTGAGCGGTGTTTCTAACTTCAGAATTGAGCTATGATCTACGATGGGCCATGGAACTAACTAGTAGTAGTATTAAATATACAGACGTAATAAATTAATAAAAATTCTTCCATGCGCAATTAAATTACGTATAAGATATACATGAATAGTTTTGTTTTAACAAAATGTGGCGGCAGCACGGTGGTGGGGTAATCATGGCGGTGAGGACGGCCAACGATTAAATGACTCTTGTATGGTTTATTTATTATTCTACTCTTTTTTTGTTTTCAGGAGTCAGGACTAGGACTATGACTATCTATCATATACAAACAGCGGTAGATCTAACCACAATATATATTAAATTACATATAGTAGAATCACTTTGATTGGCTGGTTCCTAAATCTCAAAATTATGGGATGATTGCACAATTCGCATGTTTTCACAAACTGTAAAAATCTACAAAATTACAAGTTATATATAGTGGAAGTTATTGGTTTAAGCGTCTACCATATGCGGAAAAATCACCGATTTTTTCTGTAAAGCAGATTCTAGTTTTTTTCATCTAAATGATAACAATATATGGTAATTTTTTCATCAATAGAGTAGATTAAAAAAAAAAAAAAAACTTTTTCAAACAACGAATTTTCTATGTGATCTTGTACAAGAACACATGCGAGGGAACCATATTGCGTATATAGGTACATGAATATTATCTCAGAAACTATAAATTTGGACGAAAATCTCATGCAACCGCTGAAAACTTCGGAGGCTGAGATTAGAGGCTAAAAATGCTCGTTCGGTCTGCATGGTTAGTCTAAAACCATGCAACTAGAACCATGCAGTTTCTGATGTCTTATTTAAACCCGTTAGTGAGCATTCTTATGACTAGGTTTGAACCTAAGTTTCGATTTATGTTCGAAATCCTAAATTTAATTATGGAGTACATGCATTAACTATGATTAATGGTTTGGGTTTTATCGTTTATGTTGGTAATCCTAAGCCTCGTCCGAATATGAAATTAGTACATCGGTTTAACTATGACTTTGGTTTTGGGTCAAACAAAACTGGAATTGTGTGCTGTTTATTTCGTTTGTTTATAATTCAATTTCTGTTTTGAATTAGATTAGAGTTTTAGTTTATATATATATAGACCGATTTTGGTTTGACTATGTCACGGTTACATGTCGAATTTGAGTTTGATTGTGGTTGAATTATAGTCAAGAAGAAGCTTCACAACCATGCATATCATCATAAACAGCCTAATGTGGCGGAGAAAACATCAATTATTTCTTGATCTTCCAGACTCTTTTGGGAATCTCATTGGTTATTTTTGTTTTTTGTTTAAGTAATCTTAGGGGTGTCAAAATGGATCCAAATTCATGGGTTGATCCAACTCAATCCAATCCATGAACCCTATTGGATTGAACATTTTAATACTAATGGATTGATGGGTCAGTTGGATTGATGGGTTGAAATGGTTTAATTTGTATTGGGTTGATGGATGAGATGGTTTAACTTGTTTAACCCAATAATTTTAGGTTATAAAATGGATTGGATTGATCCATGACCCATTAACCTTTCACCCATTAGGGTTTTGGATTGGAATGGGTTAAGTAATCTCATGGAGTTTTTCACCATTTTTACCCACATCTCAACATTACAAAAACCAACACGGAACAATCTCACTATAACCAAACACCCATCAACCGAAATCACAAACTCAGTTGACTAAACTGTACCAGAACCGGTTTAAAGTGCTTAAAACCGAAAACATTTCTTATACTCTCACACAAACTCCAACCGCATAAGAAGCTTCACGGATCTACACTTGACCCCATCTTGGTTACGCAAAGGAACAGCACGTATTCCTTGCCTCAGTTCCCAAACCGGCAAGCATGTTTGGCCTCCAAAATCATCTTTCTCCGACATGTCATACTCATGCACCTCTATACGCAAAAGAGCAAGCTCTGGAACCGTCAATGGGAACTCAAAAACCTCGTCCCAAGCTGGTACCCAATTATCCTCTAACGTCTTCGTCTTCCTCATTACCGTATCCGCTGGGACTCCAGCGATCCCCACCTGAAAACATTTTATCAGTTTCAGCCTTAAAACTAAAAGACTCTCAAGGGTTGCAGATTGTTAATACCCTTGCATAGAAGTCAGGTGGAGAATATCGATCGAAGTGTGTGTGAGGAAAGTCATAGTACCAGCCTTCTCCCATATATATAGTTACCTTTAAAAATGATATATATAAAAACATTATAAGTTCATGAGGAGTTTTCAAAAACAGAGAATATGTAGAAGATAGATATCTGACCCTTAGTGTTGTTTTTACAGGTAATGTAGCTTCCGGGTCAAACACAGAGTCGGGTTTCAGCAGAATATCAGGTTTCTTGATGTATCCACATCCTCCATTGGCTCTAAACATTCCTTGCATTACCCACAATGATCTTCCTTGTCCCTTCACAAGATTCAAGAATTCAATTATGACTTTTGATTGTTCTGTTAAAGGGAATGGAACAGAGAACTTGTGAAGAAAAAAACTTGAAAATGTTAAAGGAAATGAAGAGGAAACCTGCATATTGAAAGCCACCATTTGAGCACCATGGCTCCAACCTACAAGAGGATTGTAGTTTGATGAAGTAATTCTAGTTCCTTTTGGGTAAATCCGGAGCAAATTCCTCTGAGTAAACCTACAATACTCAATGATCAACAGAGTTTCTTCAAACACACGGAAATAGAATAATGTTCTTTTTTTGGATACCTCACAATCTGTTTGGCATATTTTTCTGAGGCCTTTTCGAGTTGTTCTTCACTCAAGCTAAGCCGTCTTACTTTATCAGGATCCACTCTCAAACATTCAGTCATTCCACCTTTCGGTTTCCCTGCCTGAATTGCAATCAGATTCTTGTACTCTGGTGGTGTATTCTTCTTAAACTTATCTCCTTCCTCATCATCATCATCATCATCGTCCTCGTCATCATCATCTTCATTTGAATCATTCTACAACAAGAAAAGGAAAGAAAAAATCAACTTATAGATACCCTATGAAACATGAATGAAAAACATGATGTGTGTGTTTCTACACAAACCTTGTCATCACTTGTCTCCTTCCGAGTAAAGATTGGAACTTCTCTCCCCCAAACTTCATCATCACCCAAAGTCTTATCTTTCTTCACCACGTCCTCATCTTTTGCTTTCTTGTACTCTTTTGGAGGTTTTGTTGAGATGATAATACGCTTCTTCAAAGACGCCGGCGATGGGAAATCCTTTAAGCATTCTCCGGGAGGAGGAGCAAACAACATTTCTCCAAATACTTCAGTAACCATCTAACGAATCAAAAACACATCTCTTACATCATTTTAATGAACAACCAAAGCAAAAGAAAGATTTTCAGAGAAATGCAGCTCACAATACCTCAGCAACTTTAGCCTGGAGTTTTGGAGTAAGATGATCTTCAAGAGTTACAACAACTGGATAATCAGATACATCAAAGGCGTACGTTTTAATTGCACTTAGACATCTGATCAGCTCCACAGGTGATGTAAGAGTCCTATTCAAAATGGCCCAATACACTTTTTTTTTTTTATTATACTATAAGATCAGAACAACAAAACCATAATCACTAAAATTAAAACTTGCACTATATATTACCTTCCGTGAAGAACATCGATACCATCTTCATCAGAGTTTGGCCAAAGATCCAATTCAATAACCCTGACACCTTTCTTCAATGCGTCTATTATAGGTATCTCACTGCAGTCACTACTCAGCTGATTTCCGGTTAAATACGAATTATGCCCTGTATATATGAAATAATGTGATAATGGAGCATCCATGTTTTGATGCACCTGCAAGAAAATCACATAGTCAAGAATCTTCAATCTCCACAAGAACATCACATAGTATTAAGATCCAATTTTAATAACCTCATGATAAGCAAGAGGAGAGTTATTGACACCGAAGAGGTATTTGAAGAAAGCATCAAGGTGGAGACCATTCCGGTGAAGAAGAGAAGATGAGGCATTGACGATCGCTTGAGCTTCCTCTCTCGTCGCTTGATCTTGTTTCTGAAAATCGACAAAAAACCTATGGAGAAGATCGACAGTCATTAGCCCTTTGTCGGAATAATTGTCGAAAACGGTCTTGATCTCAGGCGGAGCGACCGACACCGTGTGCTGATACCTCCGACGGAAGCAGAAACAGACTTTGTATGATTGCTTCGACATTGGAATAACGAACGATCCTTACAGTGAAATGATTGAAGAAGAAGAAGATTAGAAGAATCTCTCGATCAAAATGATTTGTGGCTCTTTTGTTTGTTGTTCTGATCGCAAAAGACACTTTCCATAAAACTTGGGTTGTAAGAAAACGATATGCAATTATTTAATTTGGTCCACGTCGAATTCTCGATATTTATTGTTTGTCGGCAGATATTTTACAAATTAATAATTAGATAAGTGTTTTTGACTTTTTTTTTTTTGATACCTAAATTAATAATTAGAAAAGTTCGTTTCTTGCTCTAACCAGCTAGGAATGCCTCATTGTAAAGTTGGGATGATATATAAAAACTGAATTTGCAACAGTAATGTGATTAGCAAAGTGAATTATTTGAAGAAACTAGTAAAGAAATAACAAGGAAAATATAAAACAATGAATCTATTATTTTAATGTATAAAATAATTACTCGCAGAAATCACAAGGGTCAAATTAGTCTAGTTCACGGCCACTTTGGGTCTAACTTGTAACTATTTTATATAAGGGGTCATATTGAAAATATTTTATAACTTGAGGGCTCAATTCCACCATTGATCGTTTCTGCAAACAAAATCTCATCGATCGATCATTTCCCCAATTCCAACAAATTTTCACTCTTTTGCTCGAACATAGTGAGATCTGGGGAAAACTAAGAAGCACGAACATAAGTTTGAATTTTAATCCCCGAGAAATCGTTCGAATTAGGGAGTAATGGCAATTACGGCGACTAGACTTGCCTCTCTCACTCTCTTGTGGATTATCGTCCTCTTCGTCACACTTGCTCTCATACAGGTTACTTTGATACTTATTCCTCATTTTTCTGTTAGTTCCTCGATCTGGGTCTGCGACATTGCTTACGTTTGTGGCTTCAATTTTGCAATTTTTTTTCTTCTCAGTTCAAATTGGGTGATGTTGCGGATCCTACGGTCAATGAGAAGATTGCTGATCAGGTGAGCAATGAACTCATCGCATTTCTGGGGTTTTAAAAGTTTGATCAGGCTTTGTAATTAGGGTTTTCTACCTTTGTGTGATTCAGGTAGGAGAGGAATTAGAGGGAGTCACGCACAAAGTTTACTTTGACATTCAGATCAATGGTTCACCAGCAGGTTAAAAGTTTCCTCCTTTTGCTATTTGATTTGGAATTTGAAGCAGAAAGTCTGATTGTGATGTGTGACATTTGGTCTTTCAGACTTTAAAAAATGGCTAATTGGTTTTTAGTGAATCGAATAGTTGATCAAGGGTGCGTCCAGTTTAAGGATTTGCCTCAGTTGCTTAAACACATTCGTGGATGGTTTGTGTGAGATTGAATAACGTTAGTGTTTGAATCAGAAAATGCTCTTTTCCTTTTCTCAAATATACACTCTTGTGACTAAGTGGTTATGTTGCTACCAGTTCATGATTTGGTTCAGTTGCTTAATTCACATAAGTGGGAAGGGAAGGTTTGTGCTGTTTTGAAAGTGTTAGTCTTTGAATTAGAAAAAAAGTATTTTCCTTTTTGCGAATACACACTGTTGTCACTAAGTGGTAATGTTACTGTGTTGCTTGAATCTCAGAACTCTTGAACAGCTCAATCAAATAGAGTAAAAATTTGGGTATCTCTGTCATGTATAGGGCGGATTCTCATCGGGCTTTTTGGGAAGATAGTTCCTAGAACCGCAGGTACAGTTTTCAAATTAAGAGTGATGAAATATCTTCACATTGTCTCTCTGTTCTTGCCGTTGAGGCGTTTTTTTCTTTACCGAGTCCATGATTCTTCGTCTTTTGCAGAGAACTTTCGAGCACTTTGCACGGGTAGCCAAGTAACCTTTGTTTCCCTCTTTAAAACTTTAAACTTTCTTGAGCCATGCCTCTTCTGAGAGAAGAGAGTCTTTTTGGGGTTTGATGTTTATCCTCCTTTCGGTGCAGGAGAGAAAGGAGTTGGGAACATGGGGAAACCTCTTTATTTCAAAGGAAGTAGCTTCCATAGGATCATTCCTAGCTTCATGATTCAGGGTGGAGATTTTACACGAGGCGATGGGCGTGGTGGAGAGTCCATCTATGGCGATAAATTTGCAGATGAGAACTTCAAACTCAAACACACTGGACCAGGTATAAAGCTACCTCTTGAGGCCAATACTCATACATATTCCAAAGATAAAAGACTTACGGGGTTGAGTCTGCAAATGGATTTCAGGAGTATTATCGATGGCAAACTCGGGACCAGATTCCAACGGTTCACAGTTCTTCATCACAACCGTCACCACGAGTTGGTAAGTAGCCCCTGATGAATTTATTTGGTTGTGATTCTGTTTTCGACAATGTGATTATGAAATCTTTAAGCGTTTTTTTTTTTGGCAAAAAGGTTGGACGGACATCACGTTGTGTTTGGGAAGGTATTGTCTGGCATGGATGTAGTGCGCAAGATCGAAGCGCAGGGACAAGACAGTGGAGAGCCCAAAGGGAAAGTTCTCATTTTGGACAGTGGCGAGGTTTCTTTGTAAATGATCTTTCTCTTCCAAGATTCAAAAACTGTTTTTCATCTTCAAACACACAAAAATTTAATCTCATCAACAAAATTTTCAATTTAGTATTTTCCATTTCCAAGTTTTCTTTTTGCTATTTTTTTGGCTTTGATCGAAGCAGCTAAACTCTAATATTAGGATAACAATATCAAAGTACTTTCATTAACAGCGAGTTATAAAAATGAAGTCATCGTTATTTCCAAGTTTCATTAAACATAATCTGTAGGTATTCGTTGATAAAGAATCAGACAAAAACCTACCAAGCTAGCTATATGAATGAGTATATGACTACGGATACCAAATAAAATTATTTGATACTAAAGAAAAAAGAAAAGATAAGCCAGAGTTAAAGAATATCGTACATTTTAAAGAAATCTGATTAGAGAAAGAAAAAGGCTTAAGAGCATATCATCTGGTGTGCAAAAACAAAAACAAAAAGCATATCATCTGAATCATGTGATTCTTAAATCAGAAGTTGTGAAACTTCTTGACAAACCAAGTCGCTGCTATCACGAGGACCCGAAATCTTATACCTGTTACAAAAAAAAATGATAGCAATATCAACATTTGGGATCAAACTTCTAATACATTCTTGAATAAAAAGTTGTGAATGGTGGAAATTGGAATTGTGATGGCTTGATAAAAAGGCAAAAATCAAGAAAGGGCTCTCACAATTCAAGAACACATTTTCCTTCCTTGTACTTCTGGCTGTTATCATGGGCAGTCTCCTGGAAACAAACATAATAATAAAACCAGGTTTAACTATTCCATAATTCAAATCAAACATGGATTATTATTATGTTTAAACTTACGTATTTCCAGCCAACTTTTAATCCACAACCAACACAGAAAATGTCAGTTACGGTATAAAGTCCAGTTATCATCATTTTGTCATCTTTCACTCCAATTGAAATGTTAACACTATAATATCATCAACAACAACCAAAAAAAAAACGAAATTAGGAGTAAGGAGACCAATTAATACCTCAGAATTTGTTATAAGAAATCAAGGAAACTTACACTTTACTGAAGAGATATGCTTGTCCATACTTGCACTGAAAAGACTGCAAAAGCAAAAAGTCAGCACTTAAAATTATAAGTTGTTGATAAATAGACATCAAAAACCTTTTGGTGAATAATATGAATAGTTACTCAGGAATATAGGATGCAAAGAATCCATGTTTGGATCAGAAAGAGAATCAAAATATGCAAAGGCAATACATGATGATCTCAGTGTCAGACAAGTTATAAGATGCAATACTCTGTAAACTCAAAACAAAAATTGACGTTAAACAATGTGGTGAGAATGAATCAAATGGTAAACCCTGAAAGAAACCACTGAAAATTCGAAGAAAGTGCATAATTATAATCAGATTATTGACAAAGTAAAGCACCAAATCTAGTTTACCCTAGATGAAAAAAATAATTTGAATATCTAGATTAAAAGGATCAAACCTTGGACATGATGTCTTGGTCTGTAGAAAGATGGGTCTTACAGTGTTTGCAACTGTAGATTTGCCCTACAAGATCCACCATAAAAACCCTCCCCATCTTTGATCTTCAAACGACAAAAATCTCTCTTACGTGTGAATTGATTAATCCCCAAAACCGACTCTTTTGATTTATAAAAGGAAAACGAGGAAATCGAGGGGAAAATTGTTCAGACTTTTGGAGTAGCTTTCGGTAGCGTATAAAAACTGTATAAATTTGATTTATGATTCGGTCTTATTGCGTTTGGATCGGTTGTGTGTTTACCAAGAAACGTGAAGCCAAAAACGGAATATCTCGTTTAAATCCAACTAAGTTATCCGAGATACCAGGCGAGCAAAATATGTTTCCTTTTTCTTTTTTCACATATAGTATATATTAGCCAATTTAATTTGAAATGAACATTTTGTTAATAATTGTATTGATTAAATCCAACCCTCTCGATCGACTTCCTTGCTCCAGGCCTCCAATGAAATCTGATCTTCGTCTAGTAAAATCATTGTCGCTTATACGAGAAATACAAATATATTATAAAATCCTTTAACTAACAGGATATATATTGTTTTGTTCATTGGTTATCAATTTTAACAATGTGAGAGAAGTTATGTCATATGCTTAAAGCTTAAGCACTCCAAATTAAATTAGCTAAGCAAACCCCAATAGAGACACTAGTAATAGAGTCTTATTGATTAATTATTAATATTTTCTGTACTTTATCAATGTTAGACTCTTTGTAATATTTTATTGTTTTTCGGCATACATTAAAGACATTTTTGATGAGTGTCTTAAAAAAAATTATTTTTTTAAAAATAAATTTAAGTACACTTATCTTAACAACTTTTAAAACATAATATATCTTAACAACTCTTAACATCTTAACAATTTTTAAAATATAATAAATGGCAAAAAAAAAATTCATTTATCTATGTCCACTCAGAACTTGCCACATGGCTGTTCTTAACCCAAAAAGAAGATCCTAATTTGGATACTGGTCTTAAATTTTAGACATCCTTTACAATTTTTTTTATTCTATTATATTATTAAAAACCATACTTTAAACTTTTACAGATCACCATTGGGATTAGTCTTAAAAGAAAAGCGAAGAGATATATGTGTCAAAATCAGATAGAAAAAAAAACATACAACAATAAAAAAATGACTTGAGAGTAAGAAATTTACTGCATATATAATTTCAAATGGTGAAACTTATTAGGGCCTCAGAATTCATAATCGTCATCTAAAACAAGTATTTACAATAACAAGAACGTAAAAGAAGAGAATTTCAAGATAATTCAGATCGAAGACCCATTGGTTAGACAAAATTATGTTAGTCAAGATTTGGGCCGGGGCAATGTAATGCATGTGATCAAGCACTTTTGAAATGAACCAGAAAATCGGTTCCCTAAAAATTATCTGAATATGTCCATTGAACCAAACCAACCATACGGTCCACACCACAATAGATATAGTACGTCTACGTGTAGTTAAGTATGTTATGCTAATATATGAACCAACTTTGCCACAATAGATATAAACCTTAGAGTTTAGAAACGAAAAAACGAAATTAGGATGAGCGAATTACCTAAAATTTTGCAGATAAACCATGCGGACTTCCGGTTAAGCACGTGTTTTGATTGGTCTCTTCCCAACCTTTACTGTTTCGGTCCTCACTAGTCAGTCCTCAAGATAGGGTAGGTTAGTCTATTTAAGGTGAAACTTGTGTCATTTTGTCAACAAAGATATTGGGGGTGTCTCGATATAAATTCGTTAGGTCCAGTTTTAAGGCCTTTTGACCCTATGATTAATATTTCTAATGGACTATACAGATGACAGAGATTTGGACCAAATCATCCAACCAACTATAACACCATGTGAGAGTTACATCTATCATTACTAACCGCATGTGAAAACACATTGTGTGGGGAAATGCATTTCTTACAACAAAATTTTGAAATCGATGATCAAATAAGTAAATGAAGCCTTTTAATCGTAAGTAAATTCCACTAGGTTCACATTTTCTTGAGGTTTAAAGTTATAGAAAAGTCCATACGTACATATGCAAACTAATAAACATATATACATTTTTTTGTTTATTTCTTTCTATATACTGATAAAAGAAGAAAGAGAGAACTGGAAGAAAGATGCCTTCGGCTTCTTATCTCATTGATGAAAGTATGGTTTATACAAACAAACAAAAAAGACAAAAGTGTAACGGTGGATCATTCATTAAAGTAAAATAAGAACTCGTATAATTGATTCTCTTTTTATTTCTGTCTACCTAATATAATAGTATATAATATAGTAACAACTGCCAATTCATTGGAGTTGTCTTTTGTAGTCTCACATGGAAAAGCATAGTGTTACATTCGTTATCTGTTCTTCCCTCCTTTACAGATTATCCTTTGGACCTTTCTGTAACCAAAAAAACCACAATAAACAACATTATCAACACAATTTATTCTCAAATTTGGTTACCTCCACTATATATGACTCACACACTCCGAAAATGATAGTGATTAAAGCTACTTTAGTATTCAATAATCAAGTTATTAATATATGCAAGTTGGTGGTCCGTATTAATAAGTATAAAAATAAAATAAAACCGATGAGGTGGTCTATTATATTACCTGAAAGTTGAAAGGCGAGAGCAAGACCCAGAAGATGTTGCATTTGATACTTATATTTATATACATATAGCTGTATTGTAAGTATATATATATATATGTACAAGTGTAGATTGTCTTCTAATTTTAGCTATTTAAGTCTCTCTAGTTGGAGGATCTTCTGGTATCGAGGAAATACGTTCTTACAAGCTGAAACCTGCATTTGGATTATCACAAACACAAAATTAAAACCTTAATTTTAGTATATTTATTAGTGCTCATTAAAAAAATCAAGAGGCATATCTTAGGTGTTAGTGACGTAGGACATGTCCTAATAATTTAATAGTAGTATCTATAAAAAAAAAAAAACAAATTAAGAAGAGATATTAGTAAAGCTACTTCATCATTATTTATCCCACACGGTTCCCACTCGGAAACATCCGTTTCACTCTTCATATAGGAAAATGTGATTTATTCTTTTAAGGGGCCCCTTATAATAATAAGTAATCCTATTATTCGTTACTATCTAATTAGGTTAGAATTAACTTTTTTTTAAACATAAAAAAAGGTGTTAGTAAGAAATACAGTTTCATTTGGGGTTAGTGAAAATTCAAACCTTCTAAATTGACTAGTCACTTTCCAACCTATACCACTACTTCATACAAGAACCCTCAGTGCCAAAAATGTGTAAATTAATTCAGAACGTTGACTATATATATATATAATATCTAAAAGTCACATGCTATTTCTGACCGAGTCTGATTTGTAATTAGTGGTAGAAGAAGCGCATCTTAGATATTAAAAACACAAAATAATACTAGATTTGAAAATAAAGCCTCTTCAAAACAATTAATACTAGTAATCGTGTTTCTGTAACGGCTTAAAGTTGTTAATTAATTAGAATAAAAAAATTAAAGGTTCTAATGAAAATTTAAAAGTTGAGAGGAAACTTACGGATTCGATGTCGATTTTGAAGACGAGGAGTTTTCTTCTCTCTCTACAACTTGTTCGGTACGCCACAACGATGTGACCGATGGCTAAGACCGACGAACAGACAAAGAGGGCCACTTCCTCTGCTCGGAAACTCCCTCCTCCGTCGCCGAACACAATCGCTGCCTTAAACGATACGTAGATCAAAGATGAAATCGAGCAAATCATTGTAACTAACAGATATGGTCCCCTTGATAACTTTGGTCCGTCACAGAGCCCGTAAACGCCTGTTAACAGAAACAGAGATTAAAAAAACGATCCTTTCATGATTATCCGGCGGAAATTCCGAGAAAAAAGCTGATTTTTTTTTCATAGAGCTAAAAAAAGACAAATCGGAATTTTCGGAAAAACACGAACTTTCAGAACAGAGCTATGGATTTTCGAAGCTCTGTTAGTCACTTTAAAGTTTCCATCTTTGATTAAACAGAGCAAAAGAAGTTTCTGAAAAAGAAATAGTGGGTTTACTTACAGAGTATAATGGCAGATCTAATGATGGAGATGAGAGGTATATCGATGAGAGAGTATCGGAAATCGTAGTTGCTGAGGTGAGAAGAAACCGTCGCCGGAAAATTAGAAGGGGAAAGGTGGTGATCGGAGGATGACGACGAGGAGGAGAGGATGGCGGAGGGAAGAACGGCGTCGGCGACGGCGAGGAATATCGGAGCAGAGAAGAGGATGAAAGATAGGAGCATAGTGAAGAGAACGAAGATCGTTTTGATTCCTCTCCAGAGAGAAGATGAATATCTTCTGGTTTTGCTAATTTCTTCTTTACTGATTAGACCCATCTTTGATTTTCTTTCTCTAGGGTTTTTTTGTTTGGTTGCTTATATGTACAGAGGATTTATGATGTAAGTGTGATTTGTTTTGAAGAGAGGAGTTTTTTGCTGAGACTTCTTAAAGGGTTTTAAAAGGGCCGAAAAAAGCAAAAATTTGACGATGCTGACGATAATGCTGATGTGTAATTTGTGTATATATATATAAATAGTTCTAATATCTAACAATGATGATAATGACGTTTTTTCTCTTGAATATAACCATTTGAAATGATGTTGTTTTGGACGTCTTGTCCAAAGAAAAATTATTCTAGACACATCTGTTTGATTTGGTGAGTAATAGGAATTAATCGACGAGACTTTCTAATAAAGTTTATAATTTGCTATGATATCTAAAATTATTTTCCTACTTATCTTCTTGTATTGGTTTCAGTCTTTCACTTGTGTTCTATGGTTACCTAATATTTGCTATCTAGATTCAAGTACATATATTTAAGTATTTCCTAATTCTACATATTTAACTTATCATGGACTGCCATTTGGATGTAAACTATGTATGATTACTTGAAAAAAATACTGCAAAAAACCAGAAAACATGTTAATTTTTTTTTTTTTCGTATTAGTTCTGCATGCAATGAATAGTCAACGACGTATTTGATACTCTTATACGATTTGTTTGTAACGAAAATTAGCATCCCATTTAAAACGAGTCACGAGTGAATTTAGGGCTGCGAGGTTGACTACTTGACTGGTAGTAATATGAACGAACCTTCTAATGAACTCTCGAGAGGCATGTATATTGGCCTTTATGGATATGTTTTAACTTTTAATGAAATGATTAATCAATTAATTATATAATATCACAAATTTAATACTCCACTAATTCATTTAGTCAATGGGTGTAAGTTGAAAAAAATCCATATTTTAATGGTGGCTAAAATCTGGAAATTTACCGACATTTCTTCGTATTTGTATATATGATGTAATTCCAATAATTCGTTTATAAGACCTTGTATTTTTTTTTTCTGTGTTGTGTAAAAACTTCTTAAAAGGAAAACTACATATTTTGACAAACCCATCTGGTGCTTATAACTAAATGACCGGTAAAGTAAACTGGCAAATATATTGACCAGTTTCATATTTGACGTTCTTGAGGGTCTAAGAAAAGTCGGAGGGAGACGGAAAAAATAAACAAAAAGGTCGAGCCAAGTGTTAGCCACCGGAGGGCAAGGGCGGCCTAATGATCCGTCCACATCAGCTTCGTGTCCCCATGAGCTTTGTTTACGTTGTAGGAAAGAACATTTAGGTCCATTCCAAAGGCTTACGTCACCAAATCTTTTTCTTTTTTTCTTGGATAAAACTCCTTTTCTATAAATTTATATATGACCTATATTTTGTTCGAATTTCATTCGTCCACTTGGATTAGTATTGTAGTAAAATTGACCATTTAGCATCCGTGTCTGGCCATTTGGCAAAATCTTAGAACAATCCGTTTTGCTGATTAAACAAACAAGGAAATACGAAAATGCTACTATTAAGCTTTCAATTTTTGGAAACATTTAGGTGTTTTATAGTATTTCTTTTTCTGGTAATTAGGTGTTGCTTATGGCTTACCACGTATTTCATTTTATTAGATAGTTTTCGTAAGAGATGTGACTATCATGAAGATATTATTAGTCTCTAGTTTTGTACTCATTTATTCACGGGATGATTCAAACCGTTGAGGCAAGTATACTTATTTTATCTAGAAACATCTTGCTGTTAACGGTTAATTGATATATTTTATTTATTATATATACTGTATATATATATACTTACGACTTACAGCTCATATAACATAGTACGATTTTCAATGAAATCTCTGAACCAAAGGTTTTTTTTACTCTTAAACTTTCACAAGCCTAATATGATGGACATGAAAATTCAATTTATAAAATAAATTTCCTTTATTTGAGATTTGACTATTTTCTTAAATTATGACTGGTCAACAGAAACCGAAATTCAATGATTCACAATGAGATATCAACTAATTAATTTCAGAGGATGTTACTTGTAAATCAAGAAACCTAAATAGTTCTACCAGTTTTATTAACAAAGGCAGACTCAGCCAAGTCGATGGCACGTGCGAGTCCCGCAGCTTTGTTCTGGCACTCACGATGCTCGTCCTCTGGGTCACTATCAGCTACAATCCCAGCACCGGCTTGCAGAAAAGCTATCCACTCACGACGCGGCATGTCTTTGTCTTTGTATGAGTACATTGTGTCGTGATGACGAGCTTGTGTTGGGAACACAATTGTCCTTAGTGCCAAAGCTATGTCCATGTCTCCAGTGAAGGACACGCTTCCGAATCCACCACTGTACGGACCTCTTCTTGTCACCTCGAGCTCATCGATTAACTCCATGGCCTTAACCTGTTACAAGGAGAGTCTCTCAACGATCAGACACACTAAAACACATATAAATATGAAACAAAAGTCTTTATGTAATAAGCAGTAGGTTAACTTGCCTTTGGTGCTCCGCTAACGGTTCCAACCGGTAAAGCTGCACGAAGAGTGTCCCAGCAATTCTTGTAACTCTCCAGTCACCTGTTTACACGGTTCAAAATTGTAAGAAGAAGAAGAAGAAGAAGAAGAAGAAGAAGAAGAAGAAGAAGAAGAAGAAGAAGAAGAAGAAGAAGAAGAAGAAGAAGAAATGGGGGAGAGGGTTGTAATTTCCAAAATGGACCCTTTTCTAAACTACAAGTTTATTTCTATCCCCGACCTTCCTTTTTTTGCAATTTGGCCTATTATGACCATTTGACCTATTCTACTATCGTCAATCAAATTGTAATGTGTCAACTCTAAGCTTCATTATCCATATAGTTTAAAAAAATTTCATTCAAAAATCAATTTAAAGAGAACATCTGTTTAGATTGATTTTAGTTCCTTCTGTTCTGGTCAAATTCTTGCTATTTCAATGTTAGAAAATATTTGTTTCTGCTTTTATATTTTATATTTAAGTTGAAAGTAGTAAGAAGTTTTATGGAGAAGTATGACCATAGGTGATGAAAATTTAAAAACAGTAAGAAAAAAGAAAACTCAAATGCTAGATTCTTCAGTCAAAACAGAAGAGGAGAGACATGGTTAAAATCGATTGGTGGTTCGGTTTTGAATCAGTTTCCGGTTAGGATCGGTTTTGGTTTAAATGGAACGAACATCCATCTTCTGACTCTACTAGTTGTTGTATCCGTTTAGAATTTCTCCGGCGACTATGAACCGCTTCGTCGTAGTTTCAGCTGCCATCTTCCTCCTCATCTCCGTCGCGTATCTTCCTCTGCTCAACGAATTATGTACTTACTGCTTCCGTTGCTAGCTCCCTTTCTCGGCATTAAATTCAACATTTTTTTTACTTGATTATGAAAAATTTACTGATGCTCGCAGATTGGTCAACTCTGAAATCTCTTATACCGCCGGTAAGGATCGTGGCGGATTTGCTAGTGAGAAATGGAACAATCTTCACCAGCGATAGTACTTTGCCGTTCGCCGACTCCATGGCGATTCGTAATGGCAGGATTCTCAAAGTCGGAAGCTTTTCCACTCTAAAGGTTCTTCCTTTTATTGGATAGACTATTGTGTAGAATGATATTCAAAAATTCTGAAAGTTTGATAATTTTGTCACTCTCTATGTAATTCATAGGATTATATGGGAGATGGAACTATGGAGGTGAATCTGGAGGAAAAGGTTTTAGTGCCTGGACTTATTGATTCACACCTTCATTTGATTTCTGGGGGATTGCAGGTGATTACTCAAAAACTTATTTATACTGTCACAGTGTCAAGTTCTATATGATTTGAAGCAATCATATGCCATTTGTTGATCAGATTTAGACACAAAGAGTTTAACTTTTCTTTTCTTGAGCACAGATGGCCCATGTTGGACTTCGTGGGGTGACTAAAAAAGATGAGTTTTGTAGAATGGTCAAGGACGCAGTGAAGAGTATGTTACATTGAAATCTTTATGTAATAACCGTGTGGTTACATTCTTGTAATTAGTTTATGTGATACAACATATATATATATGCAGATGCAAAAGAAGGGTCATGGATTCTTGGTGGTGGATGGAACAATGATTTCTGGGGAGGAGAATTGCCCTCTGCCTCATGGATTGATGAAGTCTCCCCTCATAACCCTGTGAGAAGAAGAAATCTTGCTGACGTTTTTTGTGTGTTTATCAATAGTCAACATTCAACAACATCATCATCACCTTCTTTACTTTTTCTTTTTTTCCCCTTCGTCATGTAGGTTTGGTTGATTAGGATGGATGGTCATATGGCATTGGCGAATTCCCTCACGCTTAGGCTCGCTGGTGTTACCAGCTTAACGGAAGATCCAGTTGGTGGAACGATAATGAGATTGCCTAGTGGCGGTAACGCTTATGTCTATAGTAACTTTAGAATTGTATAGAGTAAACTTTTCTACTAAAACCATGTAGTACTTGCTTCTATGAATGGCTTCGTGCAGAGCCTACAGGTCTCTTGATCGATGCTGCAATGGAGCTTGTCTCTACCTTGGTTCAAGAAGTCTCTGTGGATGAACGTAGGGAAGCGCTTGGTAGAGCTAGCAAATATGCTTTGAGTAGAGGTGTGACAACTGTTATTGATCTTGGAAGATACTATCCTGGCACTACAGATGAGCTCTCCTGGAAAGACTTTCAAGGTGCAATATACAGTAGTGTGGAATCACTTGTCAAATTCATACTTACATGCTGCTAAAATAGAGACGATTTGTTTTAGTCCAAACTCGTTTTAGTTAAGATACTTTCTTTTTATGGTTCAGATGTCTATCTATGGGCTGATTCCTTGAAGAAGATGATGATTCGGACTTGCTTGTTTTTTCCGATCACAACATGGTCACGTTTATTGGTATGATGGTTTCTTTAAAGGCGACTCCTTTTTTGTTTTTTCTTCTAATAAATAGAATGAGTATTTCATTGATTTCATACTTTCAGGCTCTGAAGCTTGAGAAGGGACCTGT